ATGTGTACCTGAGTATGCTTAGGCCAAAGGACCAAGATGGAAGTTGAATTTCAAAAAGTAATCAACATCAAGTTATAGGAAATTTCATTCGGAACAAATTTTTTGAAATAACATTTTTCTCAAAAATGACCCTAGATGCCAGTTTCGGGCTAATTTCTAAAATGTTGGGATTGGTGTCCTTAAGCATGAGATGTAACAAGGATATTTTATTATTTGATTAATAAAATAGTTTATTCATTATTTATGTGCATGTATAATTAAATACTTTATCAATATCATAGAAAATTCGGTCATTATTCATGTAACCTTAAATATTGTATATAAGTGTTATATACTAGAGGATAATATTTAAGGATAACAATCGAAACGATGTTCATAATGAATTTAATTAAAGTTTTAGAATCTTTAATTAAAACATTACTAATACATGTCATTCCCATTAAGAATGGAATGATGTTATCCGCATCATTAATATAGTGAGATATTGAATGAGTAAATTATGCATAATGAGATTATGTGGAACTGGGACACAGATACAATATGCTTTTCTGCTAATTTCTGTTAAATATAGAAAATCAAATTTGAGTCTACCGATAGTCATATATAGAATGATCTTAATCCTGAGTTGTTAGTAGACTCCTATTTATGGATTTGTGTTCTTTGACTTGCTCGGTACGAATTTCAAGATCGTAAATCCTATTCCTTGTATCTTGGGAACATGATCTAATGGATAGCCAGGAATGCTAATATATAAGATGGAATCCATTCCTTCTTCTTTGAAGAAGCAGATAAATAATTCCCTTGAGGGTTGATTTGGTACTTGAATAAGTAACGAGCTCGTATTTATGAATGTGTTTTATGAGTATACTATTCATTAGAGAATCTATGGTACTCAAGGATAAAGATGTAATTAGAGAGGGCAGCGGATTTTACCTAGCTCTAATTATGAATTATTTATGGAGGATCGATCTATATGTAGTGACTATATCAAATGGCCACTTCAAGTTCTCAGAAGTAACTTTTGTCTATAATTTCGAGAGTGCAAATCCAAGTTTTTAGTGGAGTAACTTTTAGAATTAATAGAATTAATTAATTAATTAAAGAGTTTAATTAATTATTAGTTTTATTGAAACTCGGAATTATAGGTCCATAAGCAATGTGATTATTTAATTATTTTTGTCACACACAGGGGTGTGTGACACTGGAGAAATTCCACTGGGATTAGTTGCTTGCTCTCCAAGTAACTATGAGAGCAAGCAATTTTAATCTCAAAAGGATTCACACTGTGCTATGGGTTTACGCTATGTGAACACCTTCACATAAGTGATCCAAAATTCAAATTTAAATTTAAATAATCACATTTTTTAATTTATAATTAATTCTCAATTAATTATCTTTGAGTGTTTTATTTTAGAATTTCGTAATTCTAAAATTCCCATTGTGCCATTTGTGTCTTGTGGACTTACAAGGACGACGCAGGGACTCATTGACCTATAACTTCGAGCTCTAATAAAATTAATAATTAATCAAATACTTTAATTAATTAATTAATTCTATTAATTATAATACTTGCTCCACTATAAACTTAGAATTGCACTCTTATAATTATAAACATTAATTACTTCTAAACTGTGAAGTGTCCATTTGATATAGTCATTGCATATAGATCAATCCTC